TATCAAGAAAAGTTAGCAGAACAGTCGAAAATTTCGGTCAGAAATAATTTTGACAATTTTTCTATGCATTGGGAATTTGCCGTAGCAGCTAATTTAATTATTCGTGAAGAAAAAGTAGATCAAATAAATTGTTTAATTATTTTTTGTAGTTAATATCAAGAAAAGTTAGCAGAACAGTCGAAAATTTCTGTCAGAAATAATTTTGACACTTTTTCTATGCATTGGGAATTTGCCGTAGCAGCTAATTTAATTATTCGTGAAGAAAAAGTACATCAAATAAATTGTTTAATGATTTTATTTTATTAATATGAAAAAAAGTTAGCAGAACAGTCGAAAATTTCGGTCAGAAATAATTTTGACACTTTTTCTATGCATTGGGAATTTGCCGTAGCAGCTAATTTAATTATTCGTGAAGAAAAAGTACATCAAATAAATTGTTTAATTATTTTTTGTAGTTAATATCAAGAAAAGTTAGCAGAACAGTCGAAAATTTCGGTCAGAAATAATTTTGACACTTTTTCTATGCATTGGGAATTTGCCGTAGAAGCTAATTTAATTATTCGTGAAGAAAGAGTACATCAAATAAAATATTTGACGTTTGTAAGAATTATAAACCTAAACATTAACAGTAGATTCTAAAATCTTTGTCAGAAATAAGATTCGATAAGTATGTTTTTATGTGGAATTTGGTCGTAGTGTGATAGTGGAGTATATAGATTTATTGTTAAATAAACGAAGCTGAAGTAGGCAACGTTTATGTAAACGATTTTTAAAGAAATAAGTTTTTAAATTTAAAAATTCTATAATTTTTTGCCTAAAAAATATTTCTTGTAGTTTTCATTAAGGGAATGTGGGCAAAGGAAGTTTTTTTGTGGTTTTAAACTTTCTCTGAAATAAAAAATAATTTCGGGTTAAAATTTTTTAAAAATGATTTCGTTCGGTACAAGGAATCTCGCAGTTCTACTCATTTTATATAACTGAAAATGTTAGACAAAAATCTTTTTTCATTTTAGAGTGATACGTATACTACCAAAACACATGTTCCCATACTAGGTCACGTGAGATGTTCCCACATACCCTTAATCAAGAAATTATAAAAAAATATTTTTTTTAAGCAAAAAATTATAGAATTTTGCATTTTAAAAAATTATTTCTTAAAAAATCGTTTATGTAAACATTGCGTACTTCAGCTTCATTTAAATAAGTCGTTTTTGACTTACTAATTATATTAAAATGATTGTGAGGATGAAAGAATATAAATTGTAGAAAATTCTGATAGAATATTGTGAAGTTTAGTGTCATTTTTAAATATTTTGAGAAACTAATTGTGGGATTTGATTACGGCAAATTTACGGCAAAATTATGTGTGTTCAGATTTTTTTTATCCTTTCATTTACAGTGGTTGCACTGCTAACTTGATATCAAGTTAGCAGTGCACCCTGTTTTTTTTAAAAAATCAAAAACGGCAAAATTGGGAATTCAACGAATAATTAGCGGCAAATTAGCGGCAAATTCTCCAATATTGCATTTTTGATTTTACGAAAGTTGTTTGTCTAACTTGATGTACGTTTCGAATATAACAAACAATGGACATAATAATGTGGGATACAATAAACGATTGGCATAATAACGCAGGGGCGAGACAAACAATCGTAATGATAAATTATATAGAATGAACAAGAATTACAAGCGCGTCAACAATAAATATAGCGAAAAATTTTAATACAAACTTAACCTTACTTTTAATTAATTTAATTTTTCAGATATTTCCAACTGTCATAAAAGACAGATTAAAAAATAAGGGATTTATTAGAAAACTCAATCGTAATATTTTTAGTTTTTATTTAAACTAAATGCAACTGTGCAGAAATTCGCCAACCTGGCCCTGACCTGGTTGAAACAGGAAATCCGACCGGGGCCAAAGCAGGTCCTGTCAGGGCCCTTTAAAAATTTCTGCACGTGTACTATTAGAAATATAAAAAACATAATCATAAAGTTATTAAAATTATTATTATTATTATTATTATTATTATAAATTATCGTGTTGTTCATGATAGAATTTTTTTTTTTTGGCTTGTGAATATCAATCGGTGCCTAGAAAAGTATTTCGATAGTATTATATTATATGTGCTGTGGGAGTCGCGACAGCGCGGCGACGGTGAATCGTGGCGCGGCACAGCTGGTCGCCTCTCTCGCCCACTTAAACGCAAACGCGATACATACGCAAAAACACATCAACACATATACAGCAGAGATTTGCTACCGCACGCGCTCACAGTAACACCCACACATACATATATTATATATATATACATATATATTCGCAAACAGATTCACAAACCCCAGCGACTCGCGTCGTCTCGGACGCTGAGCGGCGCGACACGACATCTGGCTAGCGCCATACACTCTACCCCCCGCGCTCTCAATCGCTCCTTCTTCTCTTTCACCTCCTCCTTCACCTCCTCACTGTTGCCTTTTATACCAACAGCGGCTCTCATTACTCTATCTTTTTTCATTTCCGCGATTTGTTTACTATTTTGCAAGGTTCCGCTTTTTTTTTTGCGCGTTTACAAAACTAGTATTTTTTTATCGCGAAAACGCGACCGCGAAATGATAATTCATTTCGCTGATTGTGGTGTTATTTATTTTGATGAAATTTCTCGTACTCTCTAAATCTGAATTAGTCATTTTTGTCTAATTTGACGATTCGTTTATTAAATCAATTAGTAATTAATTTCTAGATCAAAAATGACTAGTTGTTAATAAAAAACTAATTCAAACTAATATTTAATTTATTAAACTTTAATAAATAGTTTTCTACTATCAATTAGAATGGAATCGAAGAAAATGCTAGATTAGATTTTCATTAAAGACAAGTTTAGAAGAAAAATTGATGTTTAAGTTGATAGTGTTTATTGTTCGTTAGGTGATTTTACGAAGCCTTTTATATGCGACGTGTAAATTATCTTTGTCCATTAATGTCTTGAAGCTCACGGACTATATATACACATATTTATTAAGAGTTAAACAGGTACAATGTGTAAATACATATATATCGTACGCGGCGTTCAACATTAGTGCACTTTATTTATGCCTTACATGTTCGTAGATATTAGACTTTTGCATTTACGTATATATGTGGGTTGAGGTACATGTACATACGCTTATTGTAAAATGTGCTGGGCAGCAGCTGAAAAAGTATTGGTATCCTCTCGCGTTTATTCGCTGATTTCCACATGTATAGAACGGAATGCGAACACCCACTGCGCTGCTGTACAAAATCCACTGTGCACACACATATATATATGTGCTTTATTTTGCCCCGCGTTTCTGTTTCATTAAAGTGATCACCGCGCCCGTTTGAAATGATATTTGACAGGACAAATATGTATAGCGGAATATAAAATCACATTCTAAATATTCAATAAAGTGTGAAGAAAAATAATAATGGAAAATTTAAATGTCTCAACGGTTATCGCTCTTCTAAAATGTAAATTTTTACCATATATAGTTTAACTGATATCATATGTCAATATTTGTCTCGGTATTTAATTCTTTGCCTTTTTTTTTAAATGTGAAACACGTGTTTCAATTTTTTATTAATAAATCTTCAAAATGCAACTATAATGGTAGAAAAAAGAGTTATAGTAAAAAATTGCACAATAAGAAGTACAATTTCTTAATCGTCGGCGACTTTGTGTGTGGTTTTTACGTAATAATTGTAGGACAGAGTCTAGCGATGCGGATAATGCGCCGCATCCGAATGTCAGATTAGATTAGCGCTAGTATTAGTCTCTTTCTCTCTTGCTCATTATTTCATGATTGCTTGAAATTATAAATTGTACTGCAAAAGTGAGAATAATCGTGTATGTATGCCTCTATCTCTCTCTCCAGATGCGAACCACGCGTAGGTATTTACAGTCGACACGTAATCTAAACGCGTAGGAGTACAAGACCCACGTGCCGAGTTGATGTCCGATTCGTCAGTACCATTTCCCGCTAACAGAATATAAACAGTATATTGTACTTTATGTGACGCAAGATTTTTAAATTATACCAAGAACTTCGAAATAAAATTCGGACACTCTAATTTCTGTTATTTAAAGTAGTATTTAACGTAGTATTTACAATTTTTAAAGCAGTATTTAAAGTATATAGTATTTAAAGTAATATTTTTTTCAATGTAATCTTTATTTAAATGCACAAAGGCCTCTTTGTATATTTTACCACGATCCCTTCTGTTTTTTTAAAAAAAAAGTAAATGAAATTCCAAGCAAGGAACCTGACACAGGTGCGTTTTTATCTGCAATTGGTCCGTTAACTCTCGAGGAAGTGGCGCGCATATTAAAAGCCTGCACATTATTTCCTGTGGGGTGTCATAATCGATTCAGATAGTGGTGTCTGATAATTGTGTGGCTTTCCGGATAAAAAAAAGGTGCATAATATAAGTCAGATGTATGCATGGTTCCGCCACGCCTCTATGGATATTTGTTTGTAAAAGGTGTGTATGTAGAGAGAGAGAGAGGGGTGTGTGCAAGCATGTAAGCATGAAAGAAACTATTTAGAGGATAAAATTAGGGATAGAATGGGAAGCTTGCCCTTTATAATATAATATACACAGTGGAGGATCCCTGTGTTAAAGAGGCGGGGAAAATTGGGGATTCGCGCAGGTAGCAGGTGCTAGAAAAGCACAGGTGGGTGGAAAGCATGCTCTCTCGTGACTAAGCATTTATACCTGTTTCCAACATACAATACCATATCATTTACACTGGAGAGACTTTTACACTATATCCGTTTGCAATTTTTTCTCCTCTCTCACTCTCTTTTAGAGTCATCGAGACGAGAGTAATCTCTTTAAAAATCTTTACATCTTATTTATTACAGGACCAAGCTAATTCAATCTTTAAAATCTTTTACTTTCACTTTCCTACCCAAGAGGTTATTCTCATTTTTCAACTTTTCGTTAATGACTTTTAATATTGCCTTCTTTTCTGTTTCAGGAGCATCCTGTCCTTCCACTATACCTGTGATGGTGAGTACAAATTTGTTTTTTTTTTTTGCATGACTTTTTATAGCTGTCTACATAAAAATGCAGTAGATTTGTGACTACTTAAAACGGTTTAGCTAGGGAAAGAACGGTAAAAAAATGACAAACCTCAAAGTTAAAAATTAAAGAAAATTTGATTATAGCTTATTTTTAATCCCTCCCTAGAAATGGTTGCGTAAACCAAGAACATGTAGAATTTTGTTGTGTCATTCGGAATGTCCTTTTAAACCAAAAAACTTGGATTTCTTCGAAAAAAAAAAAGATTCTCTCTACGGGGTGCAAATTATCCGGATGAGTCATGCAGTAACACGTCGAAGAATGTTCGTAAATAAGAGATAAAAACACGTATAAACAAATAATTTTTTGCATTAAAATTCCCATTATAATGAGAATTTATTTTCATTATTGTCAAGAATTGAGATCAATTTGCATGGGGGAATAGTTGCGGGGGTAAAAAATCAATGACTACGAAATGATAAGAAGTCCATTATCTCATGCGGAAGAAGAGGGTATGAAGAGAAATGAGAATAGTGATCGGAAGGGAGAGATTCGAGGGTGAGAGAGAAAGAGCGGTCAAGGGGTCCATGAGCGCGTCGCTCGATCGGTCTGTGGCGGCGACCCACGCTGGCGCCGCCGCGCCCTGTCTATCTCTTTTGCTCTGATCAAAAAGAGAGAGAGAGACAGAGAGAGAGAGATTCGCTCTTGCAGAACCACAACTATTATTCCTCTCTTGCTCCCGCGGTCTCTCATACTGCACAGCCTCCGCCAACAACTCTCATTCTCTCACTCTCTCATCACACTCACTTCTGTTGTACAATTTCAACTTCTCTCTCTCTCGACCGGCTGGCGCCTCTCATAATAATAATTATCATTCCACCTCCTGTCTCCCACAAACTATCAATCGCCTTCTATACACGCGGGTCTGTTAAACGCAATCGCGGCTCTTTTTTTACCGTATTAGCCCTGCAGTTAATCGACTTGATTTTACTGTCGAGAGATTTATTGCGTGATTATTATAAAAAACACCGCCTGCCAGGATAGTTATTATTTCGATATATATATATATATATAAATGCGGCGCGCGAGAAATTCAACTTCTCCCGCGGTGAGATTCGCACCTTTTGAATCATCTCTCTGATTCATCATCATTCTTATGATGACACCACGGGCTTTTTGATGTCTGGCATTATTCTTTTACAAAAAGATGATGAAATGGTTTTTTTAAAATGCATTTTCATATATTTATCTGATTTTATCAAATGATCCATTGGCGCAATTTTGAGAAATTTGATTTGGGGACTTTTTGAAATAGTAGACGATTAGGTGTATTGTTAGCAGATTATGTGTTTAGGTATTATGTGGTTATTGATTAAATTTATAAATATTGTATAGGATTGTGTGTTAAACATCAGTTGATTAAAAATCTTTTTTTGGATGTTTTTTTAACAGAAGTATAATTTTAATAAGTTAAAAGAATTTGTTATTTATCTTTCGTTTAGTAGAACTTGTAATAATTTATTAGAACTATTGTTTAATATTTCTTTAATTTATAACAAATTACTAAAATTTAATCCAAATCCGTTGAAATTTTATTCAGTTGTAACTATTGCCTATTAAATATTAAATTAAATACTCAATAATTACATATGAATAGAATTTTAACGGATTTTAAAGAATTTGATTCAAATTATAACTAATATTACTTTTAATTTAATGTTTTCTGTTTTGATATATTTGATCAACAGTACAGTAAGTAGATCATCTAATTTATATTCCTAAAAGTATTTTAATGATGAGCTTTAGTAAAAAAAATTTTTGACTGATCCACTGATGTTTAATAAACAATATATAAATTTTTAGGCTAAAAAATAGTTTTCTTTTTAAATAATCACCTTTCATTAAAGCAGACAGTTCACTGGTTGATTCCACCACGTGGATGCTCATTTTCCTCGCATCTGCAAGCATCGACTTGCTTTAACAGTGACAAATATTCCAAAAAAAAAGAAAAATTGCACAAAAAGAAAACAAATACACCAAAAAAAATCACACTGTTCAAAATAAATTGGAGAATCCAATATTTATATATTATAATCACCAACACTTTTGGTTTATAATCCCAGAGAATGCACTTGTACACTTGTTGAAAATAAAAATTGTTGTTTTTATTAAAGGCTAGTGGTAATTTGTGACTTGTGTATTTTAGTATTCGGAGAGAAAATTTTTATAATACGTCTTCTCTCGCCGGCGCTCGGCAACAAACTGACGACGATTTCAGGCGCCGCTCGAAGGTCTGTGGCATTTGGAAGTTCTTGGCTGTTCGTGCACAGGCTGAACTACTGTGCCAGGTTTTTAGGGGTATATACACATATACACACACACTCTTACACTCTGTATGCATCAGGCGCGAGAATGTCCAGCGAAAAAGTTAAAAGAGGCGTGGGGGGGGAGAGAAGGCTGGTGAGAGGAATAAGAGAGGGGGGAGATTTTTGTGGGGGTGGGGGTAGTGCACGCATTGTTGGAGAAGCCGACCGAGCGGCGCCAGGTTTAGTTCAGCCTCTGTATGCCACCACTCGTGATACTGCCCACCCACCCAACGAAACGCTCTCTCGTAATACTATCTCATCTGTTTCTCTCTCTCTCTCTTTTTCTCTCACAGAGAGGAAACTTTCACACGCAGGGGATGCGAGAGAATCGTGACTTTATGCTTATTCTTTTGGGACCGACGCCGACCATCATACAAGAGAGAAAGAGAGACGCCTTCGGTCAGGGAGGTCATCCACCACTCGAGGCTATAAAAAGTCTTTTAGATTTTAGGGCTACACATCCACATACGGTTATTTCCCTTTAATTTTTACTTGATCTTTTGTTTTTTTATTTTCTGGCTTTCTTTTTCAAATTTGACTTTTTATGTCAACTACAGTTACAGTCTCTTACGAATCTAATGTTGGTTTTTCAAAGTGGCTAAAAAATTTGGGACCACTGATTACGAATTTAATGTTAGATTCGTAATTAAGGACTACGGAATAAAGAACATTATGAAATTTAGAATATTACTACCTATTTTAGAATATTTTATACTTAAATTCAGTATGTAATATTCTAATTTTAAGAATATTACATACTGAATATAACTATAAAATATTCTAAAATAGGTAGTAATATTCTAAATTTCATAATGTTCTTTATTCCGTAGTCCTTAATTACGAATCTGATATTAAATTCGTAATCAGTGGTCCCAAAAACCCAAATTCTTTAACCCCTTTGAAAAGCCAATATTAAATTCGTAATCAGAGATCCCTGAGTAACAAGCTTTTGAGTCAATATGATCAATTTTGAATTTTTGAAATCTTAAGTTTAGATGTTTGTAGTCAATAGGAATACGAAAATATTTTAAAAATTTTAGTAAACGTTTTGTACACTCGGATACACACAATGTTTTCCATTAGTGCAAATATATTTTTGCAATTAAAAATACAATTTAATTAATTTATACATTGACTGAACGATTACAAAAGCGTCTTTGTAATTGTATGTATATTGATTTACTGTCAAGTAAATCCATATAATACAACAGATGCCCTTTGATATTTTTTTTTTATTCTCAAATGTTTTAACTGAAATTTATTCAGTAATAAAAACGACACGGAAATTTTCTTGAGTTTCGGACCTTTCGATTTAAAGAACGACACACAATAAACATACCCTTAATTTGAATGTTGTAAATCTCACCTTAAATTATATATGTGTGTGTGTATTTACGTAGGGTCCTCGAGACACGTGACATTCAAGATTTAATGGAAGGATGTGTGCGAAATATGTTACTTTACAGCAAAGTTTACAGTTAAAGTTAAACACCAACAAGATGTTCTTCATTGTCCTCTCTTTATGAGACCCCGTAAGAAAAACCATAAGTTCGCTTAAATTTCTCTCTTTTTTTCTCTCGAGTGTCTCTATAACCTTCAGAAATGAGCATGTGTCGCACAATTGTCATAAAAGTAAACGTGTTTCATAAATTACATATATATATATATATATACTCGAAAAATTTTACAGTTTACATTTGGTCGACATGATGAAAATTAGAAGAATGGAGAAAAGCCGAAATATTAAGATTCTCTGTATATATAAGATCATAAAAGAACATCTGGAATGATTTTAAACGGATTAGGAGTTGCGGAAATCCCAGAAAATACATATGTTTTTACTCTTGTTAAATCATAAAAGTTTTAAGCATTCAGGTCAAAAAGGTTTGTCCTGCTGTGTGTTATTTTTTTTTATTTATAAAGAGACCTACTTGAAAATATACCACACTAAAGTCATTAAATGCAATAAAAATCAAATATGTCTGGGGAAATATACATAAAATGTAAATGGATTCTTGTAATATCTGTGAAGCAATCGGTTAGAGTTCAATTTTAATGTTATTCTGGAGAAAGGTTTTTCTCACTTTTGTAACTTTTTTTCATAATTTCACAAAGAAATTCAAAATTTGGTTTTTTCGAAGGATATTGACTATAATTTAATTTAAGAATATCAAAGAACTGTTTACTTTAATGATTCTCAGTTCTAATTGTTGAAATTGTGATTAGATAGATCCAAAAGAATAATTTAAAGAATTTTTTTTTGTTTGCTCCAAAATTAAATGGTAACGAAAAAATACATACTGTTTGGATTGTTTGATATGTTAATATTTGATTATAGAATTGTCCTATAACAATGAAAAGAAAATAGAAATTAAAATATCGAGCATCGATTTTGTTCTTGTAAAAGTAGAATAATTTACAAGTGACACGCGATATTTATTTACCATAAACGTCGTTTTATTATTCACACACATATAATTTTGTGACTGAAAATACTTATTCGGTACTTTAAAGGGGATTTACGAGAAAAAGATTTCTTTTCTTTTTATTATTTTAAGGGGATAAAAAATTTTGTTTTGTAGAGATAAAGAAATTGATGAGTCAAGAAGTTTGTGTGTGGGATGGAATGAGTTTTCGCTGTTTAGATACTTATATTTATTCTTTTGTATATCAGAAAACTAAAAGTACGTCACAGACAAGACACAGATTTAGAGGTGAGCGACCAATCAAAACCGGTTGTGTTGATGGTCTAAGAAATTGACGATGAATGTCGAGAATCCGAGTTTGTGTGTGTCCTTTTGCAACTCCTACGCCTTGAGAAACGCATTTTATTTACGACATAAGATTCTCTCTCTCTATCACAAGACATAATTTGTTCATATATGTATGTTTTATCCATTTCCTGACTTTGTACTTTACGTTGTTGGTGATACTCGACTCGTTCAACCGGAAACTATTACACATGTCTTCAATTTGTACTACATTATCATTCTTATGTGTTATTACATACATTGTGTTTCCCATTCCATTTGTAATAACATTTTTCGATCACATCTTAAGTACAAAATGATTAAAAATCATTATTGACAAAAAGAATTGATCTTTGACTTTTATCATCTTTTGACTGATTGTTAGTCATTCTTTACTTTTGAATCTATTAAAGAATATAAAAGTTGCGTCGTTTAAGTTGTTCGTAAGCTAATATTTGAAAGGTCGTTTGATGTCGTTTGATTGTTATAATTTAGATCGAAAGGATCGATTAAGGGTGAGTCGAATTCTTTTTTATTGGAGTACGAAAATGATGATGATCATGATGAAGAAGCCTAAATGATGTCGAGAGGGTTTCTTTTAAAATATTTTCAATGGCCTCTGGGGATATTTAACGCGGCATGTAAAAGAGGAGAGAGAGAGAGGGCGATTGGAAGAGACCGAGACGGAAAAGGAATGAGGGCCAGGGTCGACCAACAACATCTTGTCAGCAGCACACAACTCGTCTCTCTTTCTCTCTCACTCTCGGAAGGAATGCCCGACACCTGCGCGTTCTGGAAAGTGGAAACCGAAGGCCCAATCAGTCCGGACCATCCATTCTTTTACTTCTTCCTATATAACTCTCTGGGCCCCCTAAAACTCAAACAATGTGTGTGTGTGTGTGTATTCACTACCGACAGAGGCTCAGATTCCCTCCTCGAAAAATTGCACATTTAACTTCCTTCTGTTTCCTCTTTTTTTTTCCTCATCGTATACAATTTTACAATCAGTGATTAATTGGAATTTTATCAGGAGTTAATTGAGACTTTGTGTTCTGTTTATACTTTTGTATTTGATTCTTATTATATTTTTTCGATTTTCACCTATTTCTGTATTAATTAAATAATGTTGGATATTGAAATTTTATAATAATATACTAATTTTATATAAAATTCTGTAAGCAATGAAAAAGTAGAAGAATATTATTTCTTAAAGAATTTTTATTTTTTCCATTTGGAGAAAATTAATTCAGTTGGGTAGTTCTTAGGATTTAGAGATAAATTTAGGACGAGTTTGTGTATAATCGCATACCTATCTACGCACATGTAACAGGTAGCTGAGAGCAGTAGGAGACTTGGATCGCCACCCCTTAAGATTTAGATTAGAATAATTGAGAGATCGAGATAGATTCGAGAGTTCGTTAGAGAATAATATAAAGCCTTTTCCTTTCTACAATTTTGGTTACAAAAATCCTTTTTTTAAAAATACTTTTGAATTCTTTTGCATTCTATAAACATTTATAAAAATTAAAATTACATTTTTTTTGAAAATATTTTGATCATCGGAAATGATCCGAAAATTAGAGTCATTTGATACCAAAAACAAATTTGCAAACTGATTGTATTACTAGTATTACAATTTAATATTATTTATTATAAAAATAATAGGATTTCAAATAGATTAGAGGCACTTGCATTTGCAATGGAATTTTAGTTATCTTCTGAAGAGACTACAAGTCTGTGAGAATTTGTGATATCTGGGTGAACTCGTGTTACGGCTTTTATCTTCTCAAGTCCGTGATTCCCAAGACAAGTCGAGAACGGCCTTTCTTCGATCTTCTACTCCCACCTGAGTGCAGGTATCATTCTACGGGACTTTAACCCTTCGTAAGGCACTCGTGTTCCTTAACAGGAAAGCAGAAACGAGAAAGAGGTGTTCCATTACACGATTCTCAGTGAACTCGTATACAATATGTATATATATATATATATATACTTTGGTAACTTCCAACTTGATCGAAACTCCTCAATTTATCATCCAAATTGAATTTTTTCATTCAACCTTTTTTTTTAGTATTCTATTGAAAAATTCTTTTTTTTTAAAAAAAAAATTTAACCCCTTTATAAAATGATTTAGAGCAGATGTAATAAAATATTATTTTTAAAAAATCAATTTCGTTCCAGGTTAAATTTTTTTAGGGAGCAAGCTAACTTAGATTTAGAAAAAAAACTGTAAGTAATCGATTCTCTTGAGTTTTTAGGAAATATAACAACATCCATTTTATATTAAAATTATTTTCCCTTAAGTTTCACTTGAATAATAATGATTGAAATGTATCAATATTATTTTTATATATTTCATCTAGATATTTATTTTTCTCAAAGAAAAAAATTTAGGGTAGATGAAGGGGGAACCTTTTTGAAAAATAAACTCAAGATAAATACAGAGTACATTTATGATTGAGGTTATGTTTTGATATTTCGGTGCAAAATTTTTCATGGCAATACTGTGGAATTTCGTTTTGAAAAATTTTAAATGTAATTGTTTGGAAATTATTTTTAGTTTATTTTAATTTTATGTTAAAAAGTAAATAAATAAAAATCATAAAATGAATTTTTACTAATTAATAATTAATTTTTTTTTTGCAGATTCTATCCTTGTGGTGTCACGTGTACTTCAAAGATAAAGGCTTGACTTGAAGGACACAGAATTCACACAGACTTTTTAGAACTTGGTCTATTTTTACGGTTATTTTTCACATTTTCTAAATGGAAATTTAACTTGAAAGTAGGGATCTCCGAGGGCTATTTAGTTTGAAAGGATCTCATTGATGCTGAAAATTCATCATTAAGGTAAATATTTTTACGATGTACTTGAGTAGTCTTTATTTGAAAATGATAAACAGCAGATAAAATAAACTGAAATATTGTCAGATATAGACTGTTTAGTAGTGTAAGAAGGTTCCTCTAAAAATGGTATATAGAATAGTGCATATATATAGATACATATATATATATACATATATATATATGAATCGAACAGGAAAATTCCTGCAAAGCTTGTCTAATTATGAGTCTAGACGAGGTTTACTCTGGGCGATTTATAACAGAGCGGCGAGAACTCAAGTGGTACTCTATTTTCTGGCTCTGCCAATGCTGTGTAAAGATCACCACGAGTGGTTTTCTCGTATCTAGTGCACACTCCAGGGTGGTCTGGTACAAATATGTATCGTACACCTTCTAGAAATTTACACTGCATTTCACTTCAAATATATATTACATAAAGAAATACTTTTTGATTTAAAAAACATTTTTCTGGGTGTATGTTCTAAATTTCAGAATTTTTTTTGTACGATTATTTGGATGATAGAATTATTAAAATTTAATTTGACCGAAATTCCAAAAATGTTTGAATAGAAAACCGTGAGGAAAATTTAAACCAAAATTGACAAAATTTAGAAAAAAATATTTTTTCTCATGAAATTGTTGCAAAGATAATATTAAAAAATAATTTTTTTTTCTTATCATATATTACCACCTGCAGTTCTGGTATAAGATTTATAAAGAATCTGATAATTAGAGACACGTTTCTCGGTGCAAAAGTACTTGGATTGTTATTATATCAGAAAAGATTTATTTTTTTTCTTTTTTATTTACATGATAAAAAATTATTATTATCATGGGCGATAAAATGATTCATGAGTTTTTATATGTCATCACACGTATATGATAAAAGTGCACTTGAAATTTTCTAATGTATATAGATTTATTATTTGTTTAATCGAATTGGGAGAGAAGAAAAAAAAATTTAGAAATTTCTGGCAGTTGGTCGCGTGCTGTGACTATTAACGTAAATCACATGTAAAAGTTCACATTTTCTAAAGTTGAGAATTTATATATCGTCAGTTCCTTTGCCGCGGGTGTCGGCTGTCAGCTGACTTCCGTTTTCGATGTGAATCCGGTATTATTAGAATGATGAAGAGACGTGCAAGGCAACAGCTCAAATTAAATTGATAAATATCCATTCCTAGATTCAGAAAGTAATATTTTAAAATAATAATTAAAATTTCTAAATTTTTTTAATGAGTAATTTTTTGTACATTTTCTTTTTACTTAATTTATAAAATAATATACACGAGACTGGAATTTGTCTCCGGAAAGTGTATGAAACATTAGTAAACGTTGATAACTCCTGATGATAAAAAATTGTTTTGATAATGAAACAAATACTTTTAGTACTTGTGCACCGAGAATCACACTTTGTCATCGATCTTTTGTTTATCGATTGTATTCTTTCGGAGAGAGTAAAATTTGACATATTAAAGAAACATCATCTTCTCACAGAAAGCAAGATTTTGTATCTGTTTAATTTTTTTTTTTTTTTGAGTTTTGGACAGTACGAACAAAAAAAGTAAATGAAAAAATTCAAAAATATGAACAGAGACCTAGGAATTAAAACTTTGCTTTATGTGAGAAGGTAGAGTTTCTTTTATAAGTCGAATTTAACCTCCAATTTGTCTTTAGAGGATTGGTCCAGTCATCATTTTTTTAATCTACCATCTTGTATTTCAGGGCTACTTATTTAAATCTTGCTTTCTGTGAGAAGGTGGAGTTTCTTTTATCTGTCGAAATTAACCCTTATCTTGTTTTTAGTGACTTGGACTAGTTATCTTTTTTTTAAAGGTGGAGTTTGAATCTGCTTTTCATTGGTAGATTTTATTCTATATCCACTGATTCTTTTTCAATTTACCCTCTATCTTATAATTTAAAGCTACAAATTGAAACTTTGCTTTCTGTGAGAAGGTGGAGTTTCTTTCGTTTGTTCCATGTTAGAGGTTTGAAAAAATATGAGAAAAGCAAGCCCATGGCGCCTTCATTTTTGTTTCGTGACCTGCTAAGGTAACGTTTACTACCATGGTAACGGTTGCTATGGTAACTGTTACCATGGTAACCATACGAGTGTACGACAGACGGACGTCAAAGGAAATTTTTGACGATGAAAATTAAAAAAAAAATGTTATTTACTAGCTGATTCCGTTTTAAAGATGATAAAAGTAAATATATGTTGACCCTATTTCACAATATTACAGACACCTCTCATAGCATTAAGCAAACATCCCATCAGAAGGAGAGATTTCAACTCAGCTATAAACAACTTCTTTGCGGCGTGATTCTCCGTGGAGAGTGCGCTTTAGCAAGAGAGAGAAAGAGATGATCTTTGTCAGTGAAGAGGAAAATAGACGAGTCGTAAACGGAGCAATCTCTCCTTCTATGTGAATATATAGTATATAACGCGAGAGTGGGTGTCGCTGAGGGACAACACACGAAGGATGACTGTTTATAAATGTTCAGGTCGTGAGGAGATTCATATGTATATAGAGTTGAACAGCTGAAACAATAAGTGCCGCACCCGCGCGACAAGGAAACGGTTCATTTACCAACTGAGATCAGTCACGAAGGCGCGACTCGTGGAAGTCGCCTGTCACGGGGCATCAAGGGTCTTTCAGATTTTTCTTTTCTCGTCTCTCTCTCTCTCTCTCTCTCTCCTTTTTTTTATCTCTTGCCTTATATCCCTCTCTTTTTTCTCTATCCTTCACTTGTCTATATACACTCGATGAGGACCAGACAAGATGAAAGGAATCTCTGTTAAAGAATACATATATACTCCGAACAGTTGGCTCCGTTTCGCTTCACAAGTTTTTAGGGTTACGCCTTCTAGTCGATTGCTAGTCCATGACATCCATTTCAGTCTCGTCTTTATGTCTCAACAATAATATAATTTTTCACCTCCTTCTTTTTTTATAGGACTTTAGGTATTTTATATTTAATTGAGGGTCCATAAAAATCATTAGTTAGAATTTTGATTTGAAAGAATTTTATTATAAATAAAGTATTTGGGGGAAATTATAATATATGATGAAACCAGTAAACTGGAATTAAAAATATATATTCTTGGCATTTAAGAATATTTTATACTTAAATTCAGTATGTAATACTCCTATAGAATATAAGTAAATATTCTTTGTATTTAGAATACATACTAAAGAATATATTATAATTTTAAGAATATTACATACTGAATTTAAGTATAAGGTATTCTAAAACAGGTACAGGTTCTATATATATATTCTAAATTTTAGAATATTTTTTTATATTATAAACAGAAGCATCATAGTCTCATTACATAGCGGACACGAGCGTTAATGATTATTATTCTACGAGGCGTCTCGATGGCTAACTGATTCCACGGTTTGCACGAACAATTCAACGCGTGTTATTGCATCGTGAATGGCGTCGATTCAAATCTGTTAAATTTCAATTTAACTACTCTATATATATACGCAAATCACATATGCAACACACGTTTCTGATATATCTTTTCTCGATCATGTTCATAAGTAATTTCTTGATTGTCATCATCTAAAATATATATTCTTCTTTTTCAATTAAAAAACATATTTGGAAGCTTTTTACTATTTAAAAAAATTTTTATATATTAACAGTTTAATGAATCATTTTTCATCTGCAATTCGGTTATTTTGATTCATTTGTGTACCGCACTTGAATTTATAATGATTTGGATCATTTAATTTTCAAATTTGTGTAACGAGTTGCAACTAGATACTACATTTGCTTAAACCGCATTCATTTTACAATGTTATTCAAATAATTTGACAGCAATTATTTTAATTAGACTATATATATATATAATTATTACAACTGATTTATAATTATTTCAATTTACTTTATTATAAATCAAAAAAAAAAATTTTTGAAATTTAGAATATATACTTGGGTGAAAAAAGAAAATTCAAACTCCACCTTCTCAAAAAAAGCAAGGTTTTTATTTTTACTCCTTTTTTAAGTTTTACTTTTTTATATTTTTCGTTTGAAAGATCAAAAACTGAAATTACAAAACGGAAGTTGAAATCATTAATCAAGTCTATTACCGTCTTTAATTGATGTCTTCTCTTTGACAAATAATTTTAACAAATGATTGCAACTATATTAACATTTTTTTATTTGTCCATAAATTTGTTGACAATTTGTCTAATAGATATTTAGTTCTTTTTTTTCACAAAATAGGGGGAAAACACATTTTCACAATTTGTAACATCTAAATAAATCTATATAGAAAACGTATATTTATGTAATATATATTTGAATTCAATATTAATTAATCGATTTTTCCTTGTGTATTATTCTAAGAATTGAAAACACGTGTTTTGTGTTATTAAGCAAGAAACAAGAAATCTTGCACGCGAAAAATAATATAAAATTATGTATGAAGAATAATAAAAATCTTTCGCTGATAAAGATAAGCGATCTGACAGAATATATATATAGAAAAAAAAAAATGCACTCGTGTGTATTATAGCTCTCATCATCGAGTATGTATACATTTTTCTTATACATCTCGCGAGATATTTGAATAAGAACATCTTTGAGAAAAACAAATCTGACATTGGTATAAAATTTTATCAGTATGTATGTATGTATGTATTTCTTGATTTTTTTTTTTTTTTTTAACGTAAGAAATTACTAAATAATTTAAAACCCTGACGAAAGTTTTAGATTAAATTTCAATCAATTTTAATAGGTTTTCTTTCGAGACATTTCAAAATTTACGGGTTAATCAGTTTCTATCCGAATTTAAATCTCTATATGAATTTAAAACTTTTTTCACCAAATATTAAAGATGATAGGAAAAACATTTTTTTTTTCTATTTGTTTTCAACATACTTAGCACCTACATACCACGAAAACCGATAATCGTTTATTTGACAAGGAGGACTGGACTATCAGTTAGAAACTTTCCCAATTAGTCAGAAATGTCGAAGTGTGCTTTGAAACTCATCGATAGTCGTTTTGGCCAGATGGCCGTCAATTTGGACCAAAAAAAAAAAAAAACCTAAAAAAACTCCAAGAACCGAATGACAAACAAGGTTTACTAACCACACTCTGATTATCCGTCTTTTTAGTTTTAAGTTTCAAACTTGAAACCCTAAATTACTACCTGACGTGAACTTTATTTTCGGAGTTTTTGAGTCATTTTTAAGGTTCGTTCTGTTTGTCTCTTCTTCAAAATTACGATTATTATCTATCCTACTGTTTTCTTTTTATTTTTAGCTTCCTTAATAGTTATTTTACAGCATCCGGATATTTTCAATTTATTTTTTTAGTCCAAAACTCAGTTTTGATTTTCAATAACTAAAACCCCTATAAAATAACCAACAAATCAATTTTTTAAAATCTTCTTTCGTTTTGAATTTTAAAAAACTGAATATTTCTGTCTAAATAATAGTTAGTTAATTTCTCTTCTCCATTTTGTAAATGACTTTATGATGCATTTGATTCCATCGAATGTTTCAATAATCATCAATAATAATAACAATCGTGCACTAATTTTCTCTGATAAATGGAAACTGGTTCTTTGTAATTATTATCATCGGTTAAATCCTGACACCAATTGTCGCCGAATGGGCGGGTCACCGGTCGTTATGAATGCGTCCTTCTAGTGTATTTAAATTATTACTCACAGTTGAACAAATCCATCTCTATTGGACCGTTCAGATTAAAAAAAAAAAATACACACACACACACAGCTTTCAATGGACATTTTCAATTGTTAAAAAAAAATTACTCAACGCAGAAACAATTCAATTTTTTAAGTTCACACGGAAAAAAATCTTTACCAGAAACAGCGATAAGTTTCACTGAAACGACGATATGTTTCACAAAAACAGCGAATATTGAGAATATTTTCCTAATTTGAATCAAATAAATTTTTTTTTCATTGTGAATTTAAGTATAAAATATTCTAAAATAGGTGCCAAGTATACTCTATCAAAAATTGACTACTGGCGCAATATTGGTATCAGTACAGCGCCAATAGCGAATTCTAGAAATTTTTGGTAGATACATATTCTAAATTTCAGAATATTTTTTTTCGGTATATTAATAGGGCATCATAGAGGAAGTTCCAATTTAGTGATTGGGATTTCGTCCCTGTGGATTGTCAGCCAATCTAAAATGGTTCGAGTATGGTTTCACCGCACAGTGGTGTATATATATTCTAGAAGTATGGTGCGCGTGAAGCATCGGTCACGGGAGTGGTCTCTGGATTCCCTCGAGAGGTACATGTATGAACCACTCACGCCCTTGATGCACCCTGCGAATGATGGCAAAGAGAGGCAAGGAAGAGAGAGAGAGAGAGAGAGAAAGCTTTATCAGTGAATATACTTCGCTTTTTGCCTGAAATTCTCTCTCTCTCTCTCTTTCTCTCTCATACTGCTATCTCACTTGTTCGACCCGCGGGAATAATAAGTTTGATTGCGTCAGCTGTCTTCATCGTTCGAGTGGATGTCGTATACTCCTGTCGTGTTTTCATCCCAAACCATCTCTCTCTATATATACACATACACCCCTGGTGGCTCAAGTTTTGCTCCTGTCCTTGCTGTTGGCATGTTAAAGAATACACCGCTTGCGCGAGGTTCTAATTCTAATCCTCACACAGAAGGGGTTCATAGTGAGAAGCAGATGGCTTTGCCGTCTTCAATCAGCTAATCCTCCCCTTATCTTCGTAGTCGACATTCGGCTTCTTAAATAATACCAGTAAAACTCATTTATTTAATGGAAATACAAACTTCCATTGGGTTTTTTTTCGCCTAATTTCACTGATGGTGAATACTTTTTTATTATTGAATTTACGTTGAAAATCTGCTCATAATGTGAAGAGAAATTATTCTTGAATGGTAAAATTTCCAATCATCAAAAGTAATAAAAAGCACTATTCTTTTTTTTTCAAAGAAAAAATTGAAATATTTTGAAATATCTATTGTAATCTCATAATCCAAAATACATGTGTTAAGAGTGTTGCAAAATGTAGGCAAGCAGGTATGAATAGTCATTAAAACCTTAAATTTCTGAGGTATATAATTGACCTAAAGACGATTAGGTATAGGGGACCCCCAGGCCGGATGACACGTGTGCATCGTATTTTAGGACATTGCAGGAATAGCATTTGGTGTAATAATGTGGGGGAAAAAGGCAGCCACGGTGGCCTGGGGAAACCCCCATATTTATTGTGGAGGTATAGTAGTATCTGCTTAACATATGCGTTGATAGGGGTGTGTGCGCCAACAGACAGAGAGAGAGAGAGGCATAACACACCATAAGAGTATTAGTCGAAACGAGCATCAGTTTCGCCAGATGTTCCGCAATAGGGCGAAAAAGAAATTCCCAGAGGCTGTAAGACTATTGCTACTGCTTCTACTACTACTACTACTACTACTACCACTGTCATTCTTCTCATCATTCTCAAGAAAAAGTCTCTCTATCTCTCTTCCTGATTCTTCTCTCCTAAATAAATTGCCACAGAAACAACTTCTTTTTGACCCTTATATTGCTTCCCCTAATGGCTCATTCATGAAAGATTAATGTCCCTAGTTTATTTCTCTTCACGTTCAAATTGAGATTTCTTATTTTGTCATATTTGTCGCGACTTTTAGTAATTAGTACTAAATAATTGGAAACAAAAATTTGGCTAGCTCAAGGGTTAAAAAAAAAACGTGAAAATGGCAGAAGACTCCTATTTTCTATAAATTCTGATGACATACTCCAATTTCCTGTTAATAATTCTTTTGGCATTTTACATTGATTCCCAATTGGCAGACATTGATTTTGAAACTATATAGACGAGCAAAAGGCAATAAAAACGAATGGCTCGTAATCGATTTCGATCGGATTGCGTGGTGATACGGGCGATTCGCCAAACGCGGCACTTTGGCGAGTAATGAAATTTATTAGCACGTCTGCCTCCTTGGTTCCTGTTGTATATATATATATATCTAAATGGCAGGTGTAGTTGCTGGTTCGCTGACAAATCGCGACACGTTAGTACTGTGCCAAAACTTCTTTTGCCAAAGTCTGGATCTGGATGACTCGACCGATGTGGGAACAGATGCGCCTTCACGTTTCTTCGTCCCTCTCTTTCTCTCTCTCTCTCTCTTCCTCTTTATATCTTCTCTCCTAACAGTTCGCGGACTTCCTATCCTTCTGATTAATGACGCACTCGGCAGTCTGGTCGAAATATCTCCTCGCCTCTTCGCGGCGAATACAAACGATCGTCGAATCGTTGCACTCATTTGTCTGACGAACTATTATTGCCTTTAACCAACTTTTACTCTGAAAATCTTTTTTTTTTTTTTTTCTTTCTTTTTTAGTAAAATCTTCTTCGAAATAGCGAAACGAGCTTCCTGGGTGGGTTCTAAACTTGTTTACTGTAAATAAGTGTTTTGAACTTATTTGTCACTCCTTGTTAATGACTTCTTTAAATTTTGAAATTACACTGATAGAAATTATCGCGAGATAGGTATAGGGAAAAGATATTGTCATTCTGGTATGGTGAATACCAAAAATTACACAAAAAAAAACGCTGGGTAAATTTTGTTGCGGGTAATTTTCACCAATGCTAATTCACGGTGGCGCCCTCAACTAGGATAAAATTTGTTGCAGGTAATTTTTATACCGATTTAGGGGTAAAAATTCTACTTTTTTTTCGTGTGTAAGGTTAGGTCTCTAAATGATACATAACTCAAAAAAAAAAATTATAGTATTATTGACATTAATAAATAATATTTATGTTTCAGGGTAGAATACAGTGGAAAATTAAAATCGCAACCAATAATGGCAGAGTAATAGCAGTTAAGCCCCAAAGAAAATCATCGAACGGTGAGTTTTTGATGCATTTTTCCCTATTTGACAAAAAAAAAAAATTTCTTTTTCGCATTTTTTTTTTATTATTACCATATCGTGAATTGCTTTGGGGGACGTTCAATGTTAGGGAGATAATATACATCGTTAATATGATCTTCAAGAGCTCCGAAGAGCTCTTAGATAATTTACGACTAAAGCAATATATCCAATCTGAACGGCTTTTACAGGCAATTATCTTCCCTTTGCTTTATTGTCTCAACCGTAGGCATTGGTGAGGGAGGGGGGGGGTTGTCTTTAAATTCAGGTACAACGCAAAACATTTGGACTTTCTTTTTTTTATTGATTGAAAAAGATAGGAAGACAAATAATATATATATGCAAATCGGGATTAAGAAATTATTTCGAAAGTAGGAAGCCTAAAAGATTAATTTAATTTAGAAATTGTGGTATTTTTAAAACAAAGTGGTTTCTTTCCCTTATCGGTGTTATGGTGGTAGTGGAAATGATGTTTAGCCGTTGCGTCAGTTGCTATCGCCAATTGCAGCTTACTATCTCTAAATATTTGATGGGCGAACCATGCGACGGGGGTCACATCTGTGTCTATGTCAGCTTCAATTATTAAGCACCATATGCCTCCACGTTACGAATTTTGAACACGTCTCATAAGTGTCAGGTATCATCAAATATAATATAATTTTTTTTTTTTTAAAGGGAATCTATAATCTCTAAAACTTCATTTTATTTTCGATCGACTAAAAGTATAGAGAGAGAGAGAAATGGATGTTGTAATTCTTATGATACAATAAAAGTAATAGATCGGAAAAAATATTCTGAAATTTAGAATATATACACCTACACAGAAAAAAAAATCTGAATTCAAAATGTGTTCAATTCAGACTGAATTTGATGACTCTCATTGTCCTTTTCTTTGCATTTTAGTTGCATTAGAGACGACCAAATGACACTCGATACGAAATACAAAATCCCCCATTTAGCTCTCGCGTCACGGCTGTTATGGGACTCTCCGACTTATTAAACGAGATTGCCCTTGTAAAACAGTTGGCCGCGGATTTTCATCCCTATATATAATACCACCACCTTCTCTCTATATATATATTTTCGTCCAAAACGCCAGATGGGAACGATTGAACCTTTACCCCGTTTAGCGTGGTAAGTTTCAATATTTATTTTAAAATAATATAAAGCTCTTTTGTTCTGTGAATTTTGTACAAAAAAAAAAAAATTATTCTAAATAGAAATTCTTTAAAATCAGAATTTTGATTAATAATTCTAGTACTAGAATCGTGCTTTTATCATGTTTCAATCCCTGATTTTGTTGGTGTATCGTGATAGCGTATCGTAGAGTTGAAAAAAAGGGATCCATACCCTTATATGGTCATGTAATTGAAACAGCACGTGTCTCCTGACACAGAGGGCGAAGCTAATGGCACTATTGCTTTATCAGTATAGTATATCACTATATGGGAACAATAAATCGGACATATGGACGAAATATGACATATATTGTTTTGTAAACAATTTTTACGATATGTTAAATTTTACAAATTTTTTTTATTTTGTTGTATTTATTTATTTATTGAAATATCTGTCAATTTATTGAAAATTGTTTTTTTTCGTGATGTTTTCACAGTTTTCCACTAATTTTCAAAAACTCTGATTTTACAATAACACCGTGGGAATATTGGGTTTCCTTCTCGATTAAATCTGTAACGTGCGATACGCTCGGCTATATATACGTGTTTCAAACGACCAGCCTCGAGGTCCATCAAACCATCTATCCAACTCTCAGACCATAATTATAGTCTGCAGAATTCTCTCTCTCTCTCTCTCTCTCTCCCTCTCTTGACGAGACTAGCAGAATATTCCGTATCTAATACAGACTGCTACTATCTCTCTGTGTCAGTTATCCCACTATCTGACTAGATCTCCTAACACTTTATTGTAATCAATAGTCTTGCCAAATATCTAACACGTCAGGCGTATTGTGTGTTTAATTAAATAGACCTGAAATTATAGTATCTATAATGTATAAATGATCTTCATAATGATTAATCGAAAAAAAAGTGATTTTGAAGATTCAATCCACTTCCACATTTTTTTATTTTAATAACAGTTTTGTTAATTTTTTTGTATGCGGACGGATTTGCTAATTAATTTTCAAGATGTCATAGAGGTCAAATCCGTAACTTTCCACTTCTTGGGACTCTGTCACATGGAGCAGATTAGTAGAATAAATTTTAACTAATCAGAATGGAGTCTCTTATGACAAATATTATCTTGCCGCAAGAGACTAAATTTTGATTGGTTAAAATCTATTCTGCTAATCTGCTTCATGTGACAGAGTCCTTTCATCCCCTGTCCTCTCAATTGATAAAAAACAATCAAGATAATGTTAAAATGATAAATTAAATAACAAAAATAGAGTTACTATTATTATTATTATATTGCTTTAGACACTGTATATATAAACCGGTATCACATATTTCTTAAATCGAATCCATAAATTTCTGATTTTCAACTATATATACAATATAATAAAACGAATAAACTCAGAATGGAAGATTGTTGAATAAAGGAAATACATTGTAAATTGTTTGAAAATACGACGCAGTAACTTGCAAAATTATTGGCCGCACAGTAGGAACGTGTAAAATGCATCGATGATATCTCGGACAAATAACGGCATCCTGTGGAACTTGCGTCACGTACGAAGAGTACGCTCGTATTTATATATATATATATATATATATATATTCAGGGCCGTAGCAAAATTCTGGTGCAAATGTTGTTCAGGCCGCGGGAATCCGGTAGCGTTAGTATTCAAAGTGATTTGTCAGTCGTGCGGTGCGTACCGTAAACAAAGGGAATGTCATAGCATATTCTGTTGACAATGACGGCCATCGTCAATGGAAAGGTTCTCTGACATACGTGATTGCAAACAACTGCCGCGGCACCCAGAGCCGAATTCACCTCTCGTCTGTGTGTGTGTGTGTTGTTCCCCGTATCGTCCTTTCCAATACAAAACCATAATCGATTTATCGACTTTGCTTAACGTTAATTAACGCGTACACCTAATGCCACTGACATGACATCTCAATCGTTTTCCGAATGTTTGCCATCACCTTGTTTAGAATTTCAATTTTGCGGACTGAAATTATTCCCTTCTGTTTTTTATTTCTTAAATTTCTTTTTTTTTGTCAAAGTATTTATAAATTGATTTCAATATTATTGTAAAGTAGATTTAAATGTAGTTTTTAATGTGGGACCAATGTAGATATCATTCCAATCTTAGGGACGCCAGTTTTGGCCCCGTTTTGAGCCTTGGCAAAATTTGTACTTGAGATAAGACGAATGTAGTTTCAATTTTGTTTTAATGCTCAAAACTGGTCCAAATTAGGATTAAGGTTCAAAGTAGGTTCAATATAGTTTTAATGTTGGTTCAAAGTAGCTCCAATGTTGGCTCAAAGTAGGTTCAATAAAGGTCCAATGTTGGCGCAAAGTAGGTTAAATATAGGTCCAAAGTATGTGTAATATAGATTTAAAATAGTTTCACCATAGTCTCAGAGTTGGTTCAATGTAGGTCCAATCTAGTTTTAAAGTAGGTTCAAAGTGGGTTAAATAGAGGTCATAGAAGTTAGGTCCAATTAATATAACAGTTACAAAACAATAATTATAAATAATTCTTTAATTTATTGAAGCAATACTTTTTTTCTGTATTTGTTTTTGTCTCAGTTTCTCTGTTTTGGAAAATAAGAAACGTAAACAGTTTAGAGAGGGTTTTTGTGATGTTAATGTTATGCGCCTTGAAAATTCACTGTTGTTTTGTGAACGAAATAGGCACATATGGATGCACACAAAAGCAATAGAGATATATCCTGAAAAATTTTAGTATTGGATCCGCCCTAAAATTGACCTTATGACTCCTTGTTTATTTCCCAAAATTCGAAGGAACTTTTACACACACACACACACACGTGTTTTCGTTGTATATCTAAATTATTACCAAATGGTTTAGTGTTGTAATTCTCCCAAAGATTTTCTCGTTGGCCACCCACACATGTGGGCTTTTTGATTCTTTTAACCGAAAACTTTGGGTCTTGAAAATCTACAGTGACGATTTGACGCGCCGCACCACGCCTACACAAGGAAGAGTGTATCGTGTTTCAGAAGCTTGAGAAAGTTGCCACATTTCAAGCAAAAGACACTTGTGGCCCTTTTCTGAGATTTATTAAAAAAAAAAGAATTTTTTATTGGTTTTTTTTCTTTTAATATCACTAATATGAATTTTGAAAATTTGCATATAAGGAGACGAATAGTAATTGTTAGTTTTGGTAAACAGGAAGTTTTTCTAACATAATCTGTAACAGGAAGTGGTAGGCCAATTAAGGTCGTTTGAATCATAAATTTAAAGAGACCAAATGTATAAACGCACGCAGGTCACTTGATATCTGTGGACTTTGATAATTATCCTCTTCCTTTCTCTCTATTTCTCGTTATCGGTTTTTGGTTATTTTAGTCGTTATATTGCGACAGATGGAAGGATTTAATGCTTCCCAAAAATGGAATCACGTTAGACGCGAACGTTTTGCTGCACGAATTTTAAGCGCTCTCCAAATTTTGATTGACACGTCGCACCTGTTTTTTTCATTGGCAAACATTTCAACCGATTGGCATATTAGTCACGATCCAATTTCTCATCGTCAGACATCTGATAGAATATAACTTTCGACATCCATACAATACTTTTACAATCTCATTCTGACAGTGAGGAACAATTTTTTTTTTCCTTTCTGAAGATTTAGTTTTATTCTTTTATTTTATATTTTAACATTTTAAAATGATCTTTTATTAATGATGAATTTGAAATGTGTAATTTGTTTAGTAGGTATATTGTAAAAAAAAATACAAAGTGAGAACAAAAATATTTTTTGGAGTAAAAAAAAGCAGCAGAATTAAGAGTCTTATTTGTATAGGGCGTGTGATGTATTTTAGTG